GCAGGAAGGAGCTGTGTGGAGCATGGACCCCTCCAGCCCCACCACAAGCACCGTGGCAGGCTGCAGAAGCAAGCGCCCGCTCTGCCTCAGACCATAGGCTATGACCCCATCATCACCCCTGAAGTCTCGGCCACCTTTGGCGTGGAGCAGCTGCCGCTGGAGCAGATCTGGCCCCGCTGCGACTTCATCACGGTGCACACGCCGCTGCTGCCCTCCACCATGGGTATGGGGCGGGCACTGGCACTGGGGGGTTTGGGGAAAGCCGAAGCAGCTCCCCACTGCTCACGGCGCTCTCTCTCTCCTCAGGGCTCCTGAACGACAGCACCTTCGCCAAGTGCCGCCGCGGCGTGCAGGTGGTTAACTGCGCCCGTGGTGGCATCGTGGACGAGGGCGCACTGCTGCGGGCGCTGCGGTCGGGGCAGTGTGGTGGGGCAGCCCTTGATGTCTTCACACAGGTGAGTGGGGCTGCGGGGACCCTCTGAGCTTGGCTTCAGCTCAGCATCACCTTTACTCTGCCCAAGCTGGGCCAGGACAGCCAGGCAAACCCCATGGAGCCAGAGGCGGCCCTCCTCAGCTCCCTTCCTTGCGAGGGAAGAGGGTGTAAATGCTCCCCTGGGCTCTGAGGTGGGCACTGGGGGCTGTGTTGGCAGGAGCCCCCAAAGGACCGCGACCTGGTGGACCACCCCAACGTCATCTGCTGCCCACACCTGGGCGCCAGCACACGGGAGGCGCAGAGCCGCTGCGGCAAGGAGATCGCCATGCAGATCGTGGACATGGCCACGGGGAAGGGGCTGGCTGGCATAGTGAGTCCCCCTGCCAAGCACCTGATCTCTGTGCCTCAGTTTCTCTGTCTGTGAAGCGTGGGTGTGTTGGGAGTGACCTTTTACACTCGCTGGTGGGTTCCCATTGCATGTCCTGCTCTTCCTCGCAGGTCAACGGGCAGGCTCTCAGCAAGGCTTTCGCACCCCAGACCAAGCCCTGGATAGCTCTGGCCAGGGCCCTGGGCATGGTGCTGCGTGCGGTGGGCAAGCAAGCACAGGGCAACGTGCAGGTCTGCACCCTAGGTGAGCTGGGCAGGCTGCTCCCCACGCCCGGGCACAGGGACCCTGATGGGTGTGTGGAGATCCACAGGGCTGGGCGGATGGGGAGGAGGGTCCACCTGTGGCCAGGTGGAAAGATAGATGGGAGGGTGGTTGGATGGTAGGTTGGGAGGATGGGGGTACGGATGAGTATACAATGGGTGCCTGGAATGGAGAGAGGATGGGAGTAGGCTGGCTGCTCCAGCATGGGGCTGACCTCTCTGCTGCCAGCTCATTCATTCCCTGACTCCTCCCTGCATCCCAGGGACACCCCTGCAGGAGGCTGGGAGCTACCTGGCACCTGCCATGGCCACGGGCATGCTGGTTGGAGGGGCACAGAAGGAGGTGACCCTGGTCAACGCCTTGCTGCTGGCCCAGGAGGCTGGGCTGAAGGTGCGTGGACGCCCGGGGCTCCACACATCAACCTGGTGCACCCAGCATGTGCCTGGGGCTCTGAGGACATCCCTTCCCCACGTCCTGCCATGTGCAAGACCTGGGTGCTCAGTGGCCACATCTCTCCGCAGGTCACGACCACCCATGACGACGTGGCCCCCGAGCCCGATGGCAGCGCCAGCTCACTGCAGGTGGCCCTGCAGGGCACCCTGCACCGGGCAACGGGGACAGTGCAGGGCAGCACCCCAGTGCTGCAGGAGCTCAACGGGGCCACCTTCGAGCAGCCGGCCCCACTGGTCGGCCCTGTCCTCATCTACAGAGCCAAAGCCTCCGATCCCAGCACACTGCTTGCACTCACTGGTGAGCTCCCTGCATCACCCCAGAGCAGGGGGGCAGCCTGGGGGGCATCTGCCCCGGAGCCAAGCTCCAGCTGCAGCAGGGAGGAGGCAGGCATTGCAGGGAGAGACAGGGATGGGAGGGCTTGGGCAGAGGGTTGGGGGCTTGGAGCAAAGGACTTGGGGTGGGGGAGAGAAATGGCATTGTGGACCTTTTGAGGGATGTCGGGGCGGGCAGAGCCCTGCTCCCTGCCCGGTGCTGGGGTAGCCTGCAGCCCCTAACTGCTCTCGTCCTCTCCAGGGCTGCTGGGGAAGGCAGGAGTCCAGCTCCAGTCCTACCACAGCTCTGGCACGGTGGCGCAGGAGCAGTGGAGTGTCGTGAAGCTCTCAGCCCCCCTGTCTGACCTTAGCGAGCTGAAGCCACGTGTCATGGAGGTCTTCCAGCTCCACCTGTAGGCCACCACCTGTAGGCCCCAACCACTGGCAAGGACTGTCCCCATGACACAGCACCTGTACCCTGCTCCAGCCAGGGAAGCATGGCACCTGGCCACCCCTGGTCCCCTTGCTGGGCTTGGGGTGGCTCTGTGTTAAATAAAGGGTCGAGGAGGAGACACCGTGTGATGCATTTTCTGTGCACTCCTTTGTCCCTGACCCCAAAGCTCCTGCAGGTTCTGGCCCTCCTGCCCCAAGCCCAGCCCCTCCTGTCCCCCAGCTCTGCTGCTCAAGGGTGCAAAGGTTTCCAGAGCTGCTGTGGCCCTTCCAAGGTCCCATCCAGCCGTAGTCCTGTGCCAGGGCATGGCCCAGAGAGCAGGCAGTGCTCCAAGGAGGGCTGAACCCTCCTGCGAGCACACAAGTCACCTGTCCCTGCCTCTCCCCTGGGTTTTCCCACGGGGATGTTTGAATTTGCCGGCATCACGGGGAAAATGGCATCTTGCCACCCCCAAACTGGAAACACGGGAGTTGGGGTTTTCTTGGTTCCTCTAAAATGTCAGGGCATGCTCCCATCCTGGAGAAATGGGGGGTACTGAGGCATGAGTCCAACGGGGCAGGCAGCTGCATCAGGTACTCATGGGATAAATTCTGTAAGGGACCACGGTCTGGCCCCGTGGTGGTTAAGGGAAAGGTCCTGGGGCAGGAGGGGACCACTCATGACCAGGAACCAGAGCCGGGCTGCTGTCTCCTCTTATCCGCGTGTTTATTCCCCCTGTGCCGCCCACGTGTTTGCAGAAAACTCCACCTCTCCACCAGCTCCAGGGCCTGAGGTGCTGTCAGCTGCTTCCTGGCCATCCAAGGTGAGGTTTCCTGCGGAGGGCAGCCCCGGATTTGAGGGTGAGCAAGATACCAGTGGGGAGGAGAGCATCCCCCTCCCCAGGGCTCACCGCTCTGCTCCTTCCTAGATGGGCTTCCTGGCGTATTCCCGGCGGTACTTGGCATCCACCCGTGTCAGGTACCAGGTGCCTGGGAACAGATCTGCCTGGGAGCCGTGGGGAGCGTGGTCAGCTGCGGGGAGAGGGCAGTGATGCTCAGTGGGGCCGTGGGACACCAGTGGGGAGGTGTCACGTCCCCCCGACCCCGCTCACCCAAGTGATGGGTCTCCTCCCGCCGCTTCATGATATCGGTGAAGTCCTGCGGGGCCACGCGCTTGCGGGCATCCAGGCGAGCTGGCAGATCCGCCAGGCTGGAGACCAGCTTATCCAGGGGCGAACC